CAAGACTAATATAAACAGCATGTTTTGATTATCTGGCTCAGAGTAAGAAATCATCCATGCTCCCTCTGTATTTTCTTTATTCCAGTAATGATGGCTTGGTTTGCATTAGTCAGAATGAAGGAAAACATTTGGCAATGAAATGATTCAAAGCAGGGGCTGCACAGCCGCACAGTTGGTAGCACTGTTGCCTTGCAGCAGGGACCTCCTGGGTTCCACTCCAAGCCGGGGGTATTTCTGCATGGAATTTGCATGTTCTCCCCGCGCATGTGTGGGTTCTCTCTGGGTACTCCAGCATCCTCCCACAGTCCAAAAACATGACTGCTGAAATCCAATCCGTCAGACAAGGAGCAGACAGGCAGGCAAAATCCGTGAGGCAAGGCAAGGTCAGAGAACAAGATCAGTCAGGAAGGAATACTGGATAACTACTCACAAATGTTTTCGAAAATCTGGCACTGTCTGCCTGTCAGATGGCTGTATATAACTGCAGCTCCACAGGTGTGTGGCATGACGGTGATTGCGCAGCAGCAGACAGGTGAAGCAGATGAGTTGATTGCATGAGTGAGAGCAGAGGAGGCAGACGGGCCAGAATCATAACAAGCAGAAACTCTGACTGAGGTAGACAGGTTAATAAAACAGAAAGAAGCACAGACAACTTGTTTAAAATATTAACTAGTGTCTGTTCCTTCAAGATCAGATCTATTGAGGTGCAATGGAGCACAGCTTTAAGCTGAGAGGCTGAAGGAGCATCATATTGCCACAGAAACATACATGTGCTGTCGGCATGTGGTCATGGCACTGAAGTGGACCAATCTGGATGGAGCAATCGCGGATGAGAAAGGCCCACTCAGGAATGTGGTAATGGCCCAATAGGGGGATCTAAAATCCATTGTTCAATCATGACATGTGCAGGCTTTCCATGTTATTGCGCAGAGAACCTGTGTGGAGGGCTCTCTTGATCGAGTAATTTAATCTGATCTCACTTTAAATAAATCAAGTGTTATGTTGAGCTTGTAAACCGGTCCTATTTTCTTCTACAAAAACAACACTAAAAACCATTGGTCTTAATGTTATTAAAAAAAAACTTTAACATTGTAACAAGATACTGAATTATCACTGTGGTGAATGACTAAATGTTTTCCTTTTGAAAAAAGAAGGACATGAAACTAATGGCGATCATTAATTACACTGGTCTGCCTATCATTCTCTTGTGTTTGGGCAACTTGAGGTATTTTTACATTGTTCCTGAAGGAAACATTTAGTAAACATATTACTAGTCTTTCTTACTTTATCTGTGTGACGTTTGATTTTGCTGACAGTGATGATGAAGTAGAAAAGGCTCTGGTGCTGGTAACCAAATAGGTACATTCCTATTGTAGAATTCTGTTTTTAAGAAAACCAAACACATCAGGCTTTTTCTTTTTTTTTTTTTTTTTTTTTTAGCTCTTTTAGGTGTCATGGCTTTTTTTTTTTTTCTTTTGTACACCCAGGGGAGCCGGTCTAGGCAGAAGCCACTCTAGTGACACATGGAAGCTAATTGTTTGCAGTTCATGATTTGCAACAGTCATTCACAACTGGGTCATTCACTGGGTTCTGTGTGTTTCTTTCCTAAAGGAGAATCATGTACCCTATGGTTCTTTCAAAATATTTCCAGTCACATTAAAAGTGGTGGGGGACCGCTCCTTAATCTTAAATATACAGATGATGATGTAAATGATGTTTCTGATGCTGAAATTTATAGTGTAGGAATTAACCACTAGAATAAGTACAAATAGGGAAGAGACACATTATACTAGGCATTTTTATGCTATCACATATGATATTCGAACAAATATATTTAAACGGAAATTTGTATTTCTTACAGTATTTCTCAAAAATAATTTTAAAGGTAACCAGCTTCCTTTTTAAATAATTGAAGGAGATTCATTAAACATCTTATCAAGTATATAAAAATTTATATTTATGTCAAAAGTTACATATTTTAATTGCATGTCCTTTGCTAGCGATGCTGATATATGTTACTTTTGCTTACTCTTGTAAAGGTAACTTAGCTTTGAGCTTGCAGTAAAGCAAAATATTTCAAGTATTCCATACCTAAAAAGCCAGCTAGTTCACTGGACAACAGCTAAATTCCTTGGAAAATGTTGCCTTATTTTTATCCTTTTAGTCTTATCTAGGTAATCGTTTTTACAGTGTAACCTTGATCAAATAACTTTCTTGCAGTTAACTAAACTCCACCTTCAGATGAAATGATCAATTCTTGCAAATTGTACATTTTGTTAAAGGGAAGTACAATGCCGATCTCACACTGCAGATATGCCCCTATTGCCAAAAAGTGCATCAAACATCTGTGCGGAAGATAATTATATAGGGCTTTTCCTCCACAGTACTTGGAGAGATCTGTTCTGTTCCCCTGCAGTTTTTAATTAATTTAATCAGAGAGTAATATTAACTAGATTTTCACATCATAACATTGGCATTGGGTCTCCCTGGGCCTTAGATTCCCTTTGTAATGGAGCACATATTGGTGCCCTCTTTTGGAACAAAGGTGGGTAGAATGGAAACTTTAGCAGCTTCTGGGAAGAAAGAACTCAAAGCAGCGCAGTGAGTATTAATATAAATGCAATCAAAACCTGGTCTCTCTGTGTCAATTAAATGTGAGGCTGATTCTGTGTACAGGGCAGGCACAACAGTTGAAACTCAAATACAAACCATCATCTCTTGGATGCTGACATTAAATAATTCTCCATCCCACACTGGATTTCTGTCAGTACAGCATGGCTTATGTTTGACAATTTCAACAGCAGCTACTGTGTTGTCAGATATATATTTATTTCCAGCTTCAGACCGTTTCTAAGTATGCTCAGGAGGCCATACCTTGCCTTTTTTGGTCCCTCTCATGGCTTTGGCTTAGAAATGTGCTTCAAACACAATGTATTGTCAGATGCTACAACAGTCAAATAAACATAACATAACTGACTGAAATTTTCTAAGCAATAAGATGACAATATGGACAAATTACTGATATTTACAAATGTCCTGCTGCTTTTCTGAACAATGTAAAATAAATAAAGGCTCATGAAACTGGTCTATTTGCATACTTGTGATGGACAGCTAACTACATAGGAAATCTCTCCACTTCCTCAATTCTCTTCTTCTGCCACTCCAGTTTGTCCCAAAAGCCAGTTTCTGTCTCTCAATGTTAAGAAGCACAACTGCAGTAGGGGAAAGATCAGAAGCAGAACCACTAAAAAGTATAATTAAATATTTATTTATTTTAAGCTCAGGTTTGAAATAATAGTCAAGTTATTTGTAATTACCCAACTATTTCAATGTTCTTGTTTATGTGTTGTGAATTACATTTGTTTTAAAACCATACAATGTGATAAGGTGAAACTACTAAATTATGTTAAAAAAAAAACAATACAATAAATTTAAACAGTCATGAATACATAGTTATCTACTTTTCTCCCCAGAATGTCTTTGTGAAAGAGGTTGCGGCCTGAATAAGACAGAATAAAAACCTAACTCAAGACATGGAATCTGATTAAAATATGTGTAAATATCAGTTGTAGTAAAGAGTTTCAATATTATTTCATTGTGATTTTTTGTTTAAATGTTTTGGGGAGGCTTTCTGTTGTTTTCGTTGGTTTCTCACACAACACAGTAATGACTGTGAGAGTCTGATTTTCCCCCTTCTTTTTCTCAGCTTGACTCTATCACCATCTGCATTGCTGTAGGTTAGAATCAGTTGTCACTGTTGCAACCTGGAAAGCAGGCAATGCCTCACAGACTGCAGCTTTTTACACCTCATTCTACATATCGGTAGCTAATACAAAAAATACAAAAGTATAAGTATAATCTATCCTGAAGTAGCCATCAATACTCTATTGTTTGGTTATAAGGAAGAAACCCCTTATAATACTTCTCACTGGCTCTAACCCTTTAACTAGAAAGATACAACTGCAGGGATGATAATATAAAGTACAAGAGCAAGCAAGGCGAGCAATTAAGTTTTTGCACCCTCATTTTTTGACTCAAAAAATATGATCACCTCCTTAAGTCTTGCTTAATTCGTATCATACTTTTTTAAACTAGCACATTGGAAATAAAAAAAATTGCAATTATTATAAATAATGCAAAATTTTTTCCAACCATCCTCAACCATCAGTCCAATTCCTGGCTTGCACCACAGTGTGATTTTATAATAGAAAAGGTTGCTCAATTTACATGTGATCTGTCCAGTCAGACAGACACGGGGAGGAAAACTAAATTAATCTGAATCAGGTTTTTAAGTGTTATAACAGTGCTGCATCTCTTTCACTCACCAGAAAATTTGCACAGACATGCAGTGTTTTGGAGAAGGCTGTTCAGACCTGGTCAGCAACATGCGTACACTAGCTGGTATCATATGGTCTGTTTCTGTTGCTCCCATTCGTAGAAACATCTTCCCAGCGGCTGTCTTCTTGTTTGGCCAAATTTCAAGCTCTGTAAATGGGCTTATTAAATCGCCTGACAGTCACATTCAGTAAATCAGAATATAAGTATTATATGTTCCGTTGAAACTCTTTCATCGACTAAAAGTCCCTTGTGAAAATTACCTAAATATGCTTTACATTAAGCCCACATTTCTGTATTAAAAATGTTTTTTTAAAGGTTTGATATAACTTTCTAATCTAATATTTTCTAACAAAAATTTCATGTTTGCAGTAGCTGTATGCAGGAAATCATCATAATTAATACATGAACTTTTCAATAATATTCAAATTTATTGAATATGACTGTATTTCAAGACAGCATAAACTGGAAAAAGAATGCATTCATCTGTTAGTGTGGCAGGTGGTTTAGTGGTAAAGTGTGCAACCCACATACAGATGCTTTTGTCCTTGACACAGCTGTCCCGGGTTCGAACTCTGACCCCCTCTCTCCACCCACTTCCCTTCTGCTTGCTTTAAATAAATAACAAAAAATGTAAAACAAAAACATTTTTGCGGCATGGCACTGATGGTGTAGGGGTTAAGCACACAACCATGTACGGAGGCTACAGTCCTTGAGTCGGCTGTCCTGGGTTCGAGTCCCGGACCCGGCAACATTTACCGAATGTCTCCCCCTCTCTCTACCCCCTTTCCTGTCTACCTACTGTCAAAAATATAGGCCAAATATAGGTGCCTAAAAAATATATATATATTTTTTTGCGACCAAACTCATGGTTTTCCTGCACTAAAGTATAGGATAGTATCTTTCTATCCCACAATTCAATCAGATAGGTAAAGATGCTGTTGGAAAATATTAATAGTTAAAAGAGGGACGGGTTGGCTTGGAGGTCATTCTAGTTATAGTTTACCTGACTTTATGAAATGGTCTGCCACTGGATGTTTTGTACCAGAACCATGCATAATGTAATAAGCAGAATCTGACAGAGAAGGACATGGAAAGGTACTGTAACAGAGAATATCTAAAAATAACAAAGCACAAGAATCAACTAAGAAATAGGTGAACAATAGGATGAACTAAAAGGGCAACACTGAGTGAATATGTAGATACCTGTGATGAGCTTCAAAAGTGAAAAGAGCACACCTGCAGAGATGGGGTAGTTGCTTTAAATTTATATACAAAACATTTGATTAAACATGCACTTTTGAGTAAAAATAATTTTATTTGTATTTTTCAAGACTTCACATATTTTTGGTACAGTTATCTTTTGCCCAATGTTTCACTCTTATGGACATTTTTGATCTTTCATCAAAATTCAACAGCTCTATTTTCCCAAAAAGTCACATCTGCATACTTGTGTCCCTACCTAATCTACACATCCTGAGGTAATTATTGTCTCAACACACCTATGCACACACACCCTACTTACTAATTGAAAGCAGCTGTTTGCATTGTCCAATAAGCGTGCATGCTGTGCTTGCCCACCTGTTGTTTAGTACAGGCCAGGAAAGCTAATGTTACAGCATGTGGCTAAGTGTTGAAATATTGAATAAACAACATTTCAAATGAAGAGATAATAAAGTTAATAATAATCTTGTCATCAACAGCTTCTCTACTGTACCAGTCTGCCACATCCCTAAGGGCTAACTGAACAACAATCCTGGGACATTTGTATATTTGGCAGCTCAACGATCTCGGCAGCCTTTGCTTTATTCTTCAGTGTTTTGCCTCACTGTCCATTGTTTACTGTCCTGTGTTCAAACCAGAAAAGAATCATTCTCCATAAGAATATATGGTCTTTTACTTTACATTGGATCGGGTGGAAAACCTTTCAGGTTTTCACACAGCAGTTCCTAATACTTGGGAAATAGCCTTTGCACTGAATTCTTCCCTCAACCAGCAAAATCCTCCAACCAGTGGTATTGACGAAGGAGAATTGTTCAATTAAACAATTAAATTCAATTCAGTTTTATTTATATGGTGCCAATTTTACAACATGTTATTCCAACATGTCGTCTCAAGGCAATTTACAAAGTCAATTCAGTCGAATCATATAGATTTCAAGTCAGGTACATACATTCCAATTAATCTTAACTATCAAACAGTGCAGTCAGATTCAGTTTATTATTCAGATTGGTTAAAAATATTTCTATCCGAGAAGTGCATGGAGTCAGTGACTTGTAGGGGGTTTGAGAGAACAGAGCAGGGACACAAAAATAACACAGAAGCAATGAACCAGGAGTACTTTCTATGAGAAAGAAAAGTGAAACATTAATGGTTATAGCTTCTTTAGTAGATTCATCTAGGAGAGAATGTCAGCTAAGCAGATGAACTCTGAGCCAGTAATAAAAGTCTAGAGTATGAAAGACAGCACATACAGTTAGTCACAGTAGAAGCTCAGCCAGTAGCTATGTCTAGGAGAGAGACAGGGTAAACAATGAAAGACAGGGCCAAATGCAGGGCTTTTGTAAAGGATTATTTTAGTAATTGACTATTCTATCAATTATTCTGGCGATTAATCGAATAAAAATTCTGTTTTGCTGCAACGTAAGATAGTAGAAATTTATGAAATAGAAAATGCAAGTAAAAATTCAATTCATTTTTAAATAACATTTTATTGCTGTAAATGCAACAAGATTTAAACATCACCTTTATTTTTTTTCTAAAGTGCAAAAACAGATGACAAATAAAACATTACACATCAGCTTAAAAATTTGTGAGGCATTGTCATGCCCGGCCAGTGTCTGAGTGTTGTGTTTTGCTCTTTCTCCCTGCAGTCTGTGTCACACCTGTTCCTTGTTCTCCCTGATTGCCTGGTCTCCTTGTTTCATTGGTTCCCCCTGCTGTTCCGTCTGTATATAAGTTCCTTAGTTACGTTTGTTCGCTGCTGGTTCATGATGTGTCTTCCAAGTCTTGCTGTCGTGTCTGGTCTGGTGTTCTGGTCATGTAACCCTGCTATGGACTCTGTATGGGCAAGAATTAAAACTCACATACATTCACTCTCCGGGTTTCCTGGAGTACTTCTCTGCATTTTGGTCTTACCACAACCCGCATTATGACAGGCATATTAGAAAACACTGACCGCCGATATTAAACTAGACTTTTCGTCTGAAGTTTGAAGTATGAAAAAACGTGTACATTTATTTAATTTTGAGAAGGGATAGTTTACCCTTACTGATGACCCTACTGCAGCTAAAGTAAATAAGTAATTAATAGATTTCAAGCCTTAATTACCTGATTTGTTAATGTATATATGGGAGGTTCAAAGTTGCATTAAATGCAAGCATTTTAGCATTACAAATGAATCTAAATCTTGCATATTGTTTTTATAGATTACAAAAGTAAATGTGATCTTTGTAATGTTAGCAGTTGGGTAAGTAAATAGGTTTGAGTTTAGAAATTTGGTTACAAAGAACTGAGTTATTGTAAATAGCAAACGTTTATTTGTGTTTTAATTAAGACTATATTATTATTAGTTGGTCCAGTGTGTGTTAAATTGTTATTTTGACTGTGAGCTGTCAAAAATATTACACTTATACAAAATAAAGGTGAATAACAGCTTCTAAAGCAGAGGTTTGGTGCCAGCCATAAAAAAGGAAAACCATACAAATGACTAAAACTATTTTTAACTAGTAATATTCACTCTAAGTATCTTATAATGAAGGCTGAGGCACATCAACAAGAAAGTTTTTTAGCTCAAGCCATTCATCTGTTGCTGTGCTTTTATCTTCCATCATGTTGGACATTAGCATTAGTGCTTTATGTTCTTTTCTTCTTGCCAGGTAGCCACTATGAATAATTTCATTATTCTTCTTAATCAGTGAGTACATAACATTTGCCAAAATGTATTTCCTTGTACATGCATAACATGCCAGATGCTGCACTAACGATCACAGATTGTAAAGGGAAAATAAACATCACCTGATGGGAGCTCGATAAATGTTTCCTGCTGAGGTGTTGCAGCATCGAGGACTCGCTGTTATGATATTCCAGATCCATTTTGCAGGGCACACACTTCACTGTTTTCTTTTCTGTTTAGTTTAAAGTGATCCATGCGTCAGCTCTGGTCAACAGCTCATTGGCGGAAATGAGAGAATTGTGCAACACTAATACCTATCCAGGCGGAACATAATGTGCTGAATAGTAAAACATAATTTAACGAAGCCTTGAGTCAGACAATTTGCCTCAAGGAATTTCATAAATCGAGGTACTCGAGTTATTTGAGGAATCATTTCAACCATAGCCAAGTACACACTTGGCTATGGTTGAAATGATTCCTCGCATCTCCCATCTGTAGAAGGAGAGCATTAGGTTGCTGGCAGCAGCAGCTTGGCCGATGTCCCCCTCCAGGAAGGTGTAACAGCTAAACACAGAGCCATATCAGATGTAGTTTCTAGAAAGAGAAAAAAACAGAGAGAGAACATACAGTTAAAAGCTGATATAACAGCAAATAATGCAAAATTGGAGAGTAGTATGAGGATATAGCAGAGAGAGTAAAAGTGGTCATTATGTCCTCCAGCAGCCTAAGCCTGTAGCGGCATAACTACAGAGATAGCCCAGGATAACCTAAGCCATTCTAACTATAAGCTTTATCAAAAAGGACAGTTTTAAGCCTAGCCTTAAAAGTAAACGGGGTGTCTGCCTCACGGACTAAAACTGGGAGCTGGTTCCACAGGAGAGGAGCCTGATAACTAAAGGATCTGCCTCCCATTCTACTTCTAGAGACTCTAGGAACCACCAGTAAACCTGTAGTCTGAGAACGAAGTGCTCTAAGTTGAGCAACTGTACTAAAAAGAAACCTAGGATCCTCAATTCCCACAGGCTCACCAAAATTGGACAATAGAAGATTGGAAAAATGTTGCCTGGTCTGACGAGTCTCGATTTCTGCTGCGACATGGTAGGGTCAGAATTTGGCATCAACAACATGAAAGCATGGATCCATCCTGCCTTGTATCAATGGTTCAGGCTGGTGGTGTAATGGTGTGGGGCATATTTTCATATATATATATATATATATATATATATATATATATATATATATACAAACACACACACACGCACACACATACATACATATATGAAAAGCAGGTTGGGATAGTGAAATATGCTCATTTGTTTCCAGCAGGAAGGAGGACTTGCAAGGTTTACTTTACCGATCGAAGACGTGGATTTAACACATAACCCAAGAAAAACCCAGGTTTTTCAAGCAGACAAAATTTTACTCTTTGTTTTTGTTCAAGTTGACTGCTGACGGTCTGTCATATTTTTCCCCTTTTGCGAAAGGAGGAAGGCCGGCCGTCTTTGAGTTTGTTACGGATGCATAACAAACTCCCCTTGCTCCAGAGAACATGATACCAAGTAATCCCGTTTTGTTTTGTTTTTTCTATTAGAAATAGCTTGGCCAGAATATAGTAGGATTTTAGAACAATTTAGAATCGGCACTTATAGTCCAATGTGTTCTAAGTTATATGTGCATGCAATGTCTTATTGAAACTTTGATTGCTGTTGAACTCTGAAGCCGCCGCGCTTTGAAGCTGTGCGTGTCTCACTGTGTTTGAACACTTGAGTGCAGACTCAGGTGAACTTAAAGTTGGACTGCTAGAATCTCATGCTGGAGTACTATGGAGCTATATTGGGGCCATAAAGTTTGTTCAAATG